GTGTGTGTGTGTGCTCTGCAGTGAATGAGCAGGGTGTGTGTGTGCTCTGCAGTGAATGAGCAGGGTGTGTTTTGCTCTGCAGGGCGGCTCAACGTGAACAACGAGGAGCTGGAGGACATGCTGAAGGAAGCCCCCGGAGCCATCAACTTCACCGTCTTCCTCACCATGTTCGGAGAGAAGCTCAAAGGTCAGGATCAGTCTAGAAACATCTGTATAGTGCCAGTGTTGAGGTCACATTTAACACATGTAACCTTTCACTACTTGTATAGTGAATCATAGACAATGAATCGACTCATCGGGCAGCACAGTTAACATTGCTGCCTCGCTGTGATGGGCGCTGGGTTCAGTTTCAGACCTGGGGTGCTGTCTGTGTGGAGTCTGGAGAATCTCCCTGTGTTTCTTCTGGGAGAATTGGCCCTGGTGTCAGGGTGTGTGTGCGTGTCCTATGATGGACTGGTGTCCTGTCTAGGGTGAATCCCACTGTTGCTTGCTGGGATAGACCACAGCTTTCCCGCGACACTGAATTGGACGAAGCAGTTAGAAAATGGATGGATGTGTACGTTGGACCATACAGTGCTGCAGGTCAAGGACAGAGGACTGGAGATTAAATTATGAGGTTTATTTTTCCACCCAATAGTGTCCCTGACCTGGAAGTACTGACTGGTGAGACTGGTAGTATGGTGTCACAGAAATGTCTCAATAATCTTGTTCTGAACTGCAACATGGCATAGTTTACGACTGATCTTTGTGTTGCAACACATCCATTTTAAGACCTTTGTGTTAGAGGAGAAAACTGCATTCTAGAGTGAGGAAGAAATACCTGTAAGAATAGAAGAGTAAGAATCTGTAATCTACACTTCACAGGTAGTGACCCAGAGGAAACCATTCTGAATGCCTTTAAAATCTTCGACCCAGACGCCAAAGGTCATATCAACGCTGAGTAGTAAGTACTCAAGTTTGCCCTCTAGTAGTGAGAGCAAAACACAAGCCCAGCCCCAGAGCATTCAGTCCTATGGTTTGCTATTAAACATTTGTTTTCTTTACTTGTGTAGATGTGGACAAAACTATTTTCAACAACATGATTTCTGCAGTGCACAGTAATCACACTTTTTTAAAACATAAAATCACAAAAATACTTGAACATTTAAAATAATTATGGTTATTAATAATAAATACACCATCTCATACCAGGAGGGCAATGCATAGGTTTTGCAAAACTCTGGTTTATAGAAGACACAATGGCTGTTCATTGCCCTTTAAGCAAGGTTTATGGTGCTGTATTAATAAATACTAGAAAGACAGGACACTAAAAACAAACTACCCTGTAATTTCCCATAATGCTGATGCAAGAATTGTTGGAAACGGCCAGCGGGAGGAAAAGAAAAGAACATCTGGAATAGTCTAACCCATCAGAAATAAATTTGGACTTAAAATATGCCTCTTCACACTGCTTGAAAAGAATACAATTAGCATCTGCAGCAGAGGCCCATTATAGAGCAAGTAACTGTAGTGATGATGGCACAGGTGTCCTCAGCACATGGGGGCGGTACTGGGCTCAACCCACTGCGCAGGGCACTTCCTCCCGAGTCTGGCCAGTGGTCCAGGTAGAACAGCCAAGAGATGAGTTACAGCGTTTGACACAGATGGCCCCAGCGCTGTAGAAGAATGTTAAACTAACCTGATCTAGAGTACTGTTTTTACTGACCATCTGATCGTCTTGTTGCCTTCCAGCATCAAACGCATGCTGATGACTCAAGCGGACAAGTTCAGTGCAGAGGAGGTGAGTCCGCTACAGAAAGACAAATGTGCCCAGGGAGGGAGGTTTTGACATAGGGCACAGAGACAGAGGGGGCCCCAGGTCCTAGGAATTCGTGAGTGCTGTCAGGACACAGGCCAGGCAAACTGAACCAGTGTCTCTGACCCATTTGGACTCTCCTGGAAGAGACTGCTAAAAGCAGTCATCCATCGAGCAGTTCCAGGAACAGACACCAGGGAGAGCTTAGTTGTTGCAGACGAATGTAGACAGGGAGTGGAATTGGAGGGCTGGGCTGTCTGCAGGGCTCTGGGTCTCATTTAACAACAGGGAGTGGGTGATTCGTCCGTGCAGAGAGACCAGAAACGGGCTGGTTAAGTTTGTCAAACTCAGGACAAAGAGGAAATTCCAGTTGTTCTTGAAGCTGTGTGATCCAGATGTTTTGGGTACAGCTGGAAGTGATAAAACTTTTGCACTCCAGATGGGCGAAAACTTCCAGCAAGTTTGGATGAGAGCCAGCAGGCATCAGACGGCAGATTTGAGAGCAGTAGTATTGAAAACATTGACACCTTGTATATTTTGTCAGCATAACTCAGAGAAGCTGTACTAGTTAAGGAGCACAGGCCAACAAGACATGAACTTGCAAGTAGAGCTTACACCAGATAAAGCTAAAGTAAAGTACTTGGTTTTAATACCACAATCCTCAAGCTTGTAGGAGTACATGCTGAAAAAGGCTAAACTATTACGCATCTATGACAAATTAAAAAATTATACAGTACAATATTAAAATGTTACAGTTCAGTGTTCTATCAGAGTAATAAGTATATTACAGTAATGACAACCGCAGTAAATATGAAAGAGTGAAATAAAATCACATAGTTAATCACTTCCTAGTTTAAACACCAAATGTTATAACATAAGAAACAAAGTTTTTGATCTTTAAATCAGACACATAGCCAGTCACAGACTGAGTTTTTCTCTTATGCAGGAACTGAATTCCCACTTCTCCACAGTGCTCTGTCAAAGGGTGATCACACTCCTTTTCCCTTCGCTCTTTGATTCAAAATACAAAAAGAAGCTGAAAAAAGTAACAAATAAACCCTCAGAAAAGACCCACAGTGACTTTTCAGAAAACAGCAATGCAATGTCTGGCTTCCCAGCCAGCTGACCATCATTACAGAAATACCGGGTTCCTTTAGGACCAGCTACTTCACTGATGGGTCATGTGATTGTAGCAAGCCATTTTGCTGTCAACAGAAATCACACACAATCTGCTGCCTTTCCACAGGCATGTGTGAAGCAAATGACAAATGGATAGGGTGTGGACGGGCCACTTTTTTATTGTATGCTGGCCTTCTGGCCCTAATAAAGCAGAGCTCCCAAGAGCTCCCAACCAATTCAAGTACTGTACTCAATCAGCAAGAAACCTCATTCCAGTACAGACCTCTGTCCAGAGTGCTGTGTGAGCTAAACAACCTGTGTGCTCCATGTTGTCCCCAGACAGCAGGAGAAATACTCCCCTTACAAGCAGTAACTGCTGTTCTCTCAGCAACAGTGTTGCCTTGTTTCGGCCCCAAGACTAGAGCTGGGTGTCAGAGATGCTGGACTCTCCAGCAGATCACCAGACGCTGTGTCTTCTACAGGTGCAGCAGATGTTCTCTGCATTCCCCCCTGACGTCTCAGGGAACCTGGACTACAAGAACCTGTGTTATGTCATCACCCACGGGGAGGAGAAGGACCAGGAGTGAACAGGAAGTGAGGTCAACCCAGCAAGTGTGACATCACATCCCATGTGACCCTCTGAAATGTAAATAGTGCCATCTGGCAATAGTGCCAGGGTAAACAAACTTTTTTTTAAAAAATGTAAGCATGTTCCTTTCAAACCCCGGTCTTTTCACTGCACGAATAAACTTTTTTTCAGACAATCTGCAAGACTTTCCTCTTCACCACTTCAAGATGTCTCAACAGCTGACAATGTACATGTGCATTTCAGTTATTGCCTGTCTTTGTAAGGTGTTTTTTCTATTTTGGTTCTTAGTTGCTGACACTTCAGCTGGGTCTCTTCAACAAGGGTTGCAATAAATCGCACCATGTAAACTAGTGAGCAACTATTTGCAACTTGTTGGACACAGATGCAGCAACATCTGCAGTAAGTGATTAAATTGTCAGCCAATCACCTCTCAGGGCAGTGTTCCAGTCAATCCTGTTTCCCAGTATTTTTCCAAACAGAATAATGTAAAACAAATCATGCTTGTAGCATCACTGAGCTGTTAATGTGGAACGAAAAAATAACGTTGACATATAAGGCTTTTTTCTCCTTCAATGTTTCTATATTAGGCACACTGGTAGTTTACTTTGTGTATTTGAAGTATTCTTTCCATTTCATGACTGGTTGCTAAAAGCTATATGTTGCATAACAGCCAAGCTATACAACAAATATCATGCAGTTTGATGTACCATGAAAACAGCCCCCCACTATGATTTTATTAGCACAAACATTTACTTTTGCAGAGTCAAAAAAAACCTTGAAGGCACACACTATGTACAGTACAATTCATGGTGGTGTCTTGATGGGCTACATGTGAAATGCAGAACTATTAAAATTACTGTTGACGACAGAGGTTATGCTAACAGTGTTTTACACCAGAGCAGGAACCCACTGTATTCAAAGCAACTTTAAATCAAACTGCTTTTCTCAGAAATTGTGCATTATGCTGCAATGGGCGAGCAGTTTGTGGTTTTGCCGAGTGTTACAACATGCCTGGTGCTCAGTGGATTGGCTCTGAAAAGTCTGTGCTCCAGATGTAGCAGTTCGTTGTGAAACCACTGTGTGAACTCTGTACATCTCATTTAGACGTCAAAATACAATTTCCATATGCCTTCTGTGTTTCACATGATCAGTGTTTTTGCTTTTGTGGTTTTCCATCTATTCCATTTAGACATGTTTACAGTGGTTGAAATTATTTTATAAAACCTTCTGCACATTTACTTACAGGCTATGTGGATGTCACACAGGCTGTATAATTAAGTCAGTTTTAGACTTTAAATTAGTCTAAAACAGATTATGATCTAAGCCTACCTTTAACTTTATGACAGATTTCGACTAATTCAAATAAATTAAGCATACAAATGTGCCTAGGTCAGTTTCAAGGCAGACTGTATTCAGTATTGTGGTTCTGCCTTGTAGCCTGATCTCGTCTCAGCAAGGCAGGACCTGCTCAGCACTGTGGTGTCTTACTCTGGCACTTGAACGGCCCCATTGTGAGGCTGCTGGTGCAGAAAGTCTGCTACCTGTCACCCAGTGGTGGATGAAGTAGGTCCTCTCCTGAATTTAAGCATTTCAGATCCTTTGGGATGGAAAGGGCAATACCAATGCAAACCATCATATTTAGTTTGAATTCTTATTTATCTTAATATAGTCTGATTTAACCAGCATAATAGTATCAAAGAGACTACATTAATAAATCTTTCTTTCTGATCATAACTTGATAACCTAAACTCTAACAAATACTGAAGCCTCTGCTGTGATAAATACTGCATTATTACAGATACTTTCACAACTGTTATATCTTTTGGAACAAAAGCCGTGAACAAGAATATATATATACAAGAATATTATAGTATCACAGGTAACCTACAGTACATTGGCTACATTTCAGTCTGATCGAGGTGTTCTTCTGCCTGCACAGTGTGACCCTGACTAGGTATTTGGCACTGAGAGCCACAGCTCATGGCTGCTTTCCTCGAGACCCAAGGCAGGGGTCAGTGAAGCCCCTGCAGGCATGAGGTGAAACAAGTCGTGCAAAAAAGTCATACAGACACAAGCACTCTCCCTCTTTCACACAGGTTTATTGGTGTGTCGCTGTTCCCGCTGAGCCACACTGCGCTCGGGAAAAAACGTCCATCCGCCTCTCTCCCGATACAAACCCACATCCGAACACAAAACACCCCGGCCGAGAGCGCGAAGCCCCCTGGTGCACACAGGCACCGTCCAGCAGAGCGTCGCTCCAGCCAGGGCTCTCCTCCATGACTCCATGACACATTGACGGTAAACACAAAGGTCACGAACCAATTCACATTCAGTTACACGGAAATAAGTGCAGATAAAAACACAACCCATATTTACACATATTCCACTGTAATCAGCACCCAGGACAGCACATACAGTACAAGGCAGCAACATGATGAAATTCCTCATCTGCCTTTCCTGCCCATCAAGAATTTCAGCGGAGGACTTTTCATCACACAGACAGTATATGTTCATAACATATTATATTCAAAGTTTAAGCGCTATCTTAACAGCAAGAACTCAAGGTGAAACTGATTTTTAATTTCACATATGCACTTCCCCAGCAAACACAGACAAGCTACATATCCTGGACACCTCCACCTGGTTTGTTTTTCTCTAGACACAGGCATGCAAGTATTGTGGATTCTGACAGTTTGTAAGTGGTAAATTGTGCAATGATCTGAAATTTCTCATCTGAGTTCCTAAAGGTAGAGAATGATATTGCAAAGTATGCATTTTCAATACTTAGCCCCTGACTGTTGTAACTATCTCCTAATATTCTTCTAACTTTATCAATTTTAAAAAATTTAAAAATAACTATACTCTGAAGGGCTGTAAGCAGTAAACAAATGTGAGATGAGAATCACATTTCTTATCCATCAGTGCTACATTGGGTTCCAGGATTGATGTTGACCAAGCAGGTCAGTGACTTAACACCCAGGGCTGTCTGCTGTGAGGACACTCACTATCAGTTTCTAAACAACGCCTCCTCATGTGACAGGTTTTTTACAACAACACATCAGCATGAGTAATCATTCCTTGTCTTACATGAGACTGAAGCTCTCTAACTGATGGCCAATCCATGTAGGCTAACCTAAACCATAGCTCCTAAGGCTCTTTCTTCTTCCTGGAAGGAGGTTGGAATTATCTTCATACTCTTTTGGTATGAATGACCACCTGAAACTATTTTTTAAAAAGCAGTATTCTTATACTGGCTACGATAGTCTGACGTACTTTAATGCTGCGTTAAAACCACTGAAGCAAAACAAAGAGAGTTACTCTGGGCTGCTAACTGCACTGTACATGACATAAGGTATGCTAACTATATTTCAACAGCTAAAGCTACTTGAAAAAGCACTAAAGACATTGCTTAAACAGTTGTACGTTATGTATTTCTATAAATGAGGATATCCTTGTGAAAAGCCTCCTGGCTTTATCGAAGACTATTCTTTTTGGTTGACACCCCCAAATCATCAGACACCCCTGTGATGTGGGAATCTTCATCACAGAATATAGGAATCTAGTAACAGTAAAGCACTATGTCCCTACTCACCCCCTTCTCATCCCCAGCCTGGTAGGTGTCCTGAGTATTCACTCACTGCCCCACCCCTCCCACCTGAACTAGTCCCGCCCCCGCCCCCGCCCCTGCCTGTCCTGGGCACCTGCACTCCTGCTTCCCTGGAGAAGGGTGGAAAGGAGATCGCTCCACCCCCCCCTCTTGGTTCTCGTGGAAACGGCAGGAGACTGGGCGGAGTCTGTAAGGACATCCCATCCAGAGCCGGGCTCAACGGTGACCCCTGCAGGGAGACGCTGGGTTAGCAAGAGACCGAATATGCACAAATAGCAGAAAAAATAAAACACGCAGGTTGTGTTCCTAAATGAAAAATAATGTTTTCAAGAGAATGAAAACATCTTTACATTTACATCTACATTACATTTTTTTAACGCCTTAATTTCCCTTCGGAATCAATAAAGCTTGATCATTCAAGAACTGATTCATGAATAACATTATACAAGAATGCAAGTAAAACTTTTTACTCAGTAGTGTTAATGTCTGTGCAAGTGTGTACCAGGGACACAGTATGAACGCAATTTTGTTTTTGAGGTTTCTCAGTTCAGCAGCACAGTAGTGCAAATTCTCATTTAAGCACGGATCCTGTTTAAGATAAAGTAACAATATACCCCCTGCTGGTAGGGGTGTGAATTGCATCTCTCTCTTCCTTCCTCACCATAGACTCCATTCATGTGCTCCAGGATGAGAACCCTCTCAGCTAGGATCTTCAAAGCCTCTCGGATCTGCTGCACTCCCTCCACCTTCCGAGAGAAGAGCAGGATTTCACTGGCGTATTCTTTTAAGGCCAAAGCAAACGGTCTGAGAACACTTCAGGGTTGTTTAAACAGCACACAAGTTTGGCGAATTCATGCTAGAAACTGCTGCGCAAAAGAGCAGCCAGTGAAGTGTTTGAAATGAATGGTGAACTCTTACAAATCACAAACCTGGCCACTTGTTTCACAAGTCCTTTCACTATTCATTTAATCTGGGTCTCCTGGAAACTCTTATTAGATCAAGCCTCCTTCCCTCACCTCTGACTCTCCTGGCTTCCCTGGTTCCCCCGGCTCTCCCTTCGGACCTGGGTCACCCTGCAAACACAAGCACTTCGTCAGCTCAGGCACCCCAGGGGTACCATGCATACTGGAGGGAGGACCACGTCCGATGAGACAGCAGCTCTGTTCTCAAGCACCTCTGCAGGCAGAGCTCTAACCCCCTGACGTCATGTGTGGGCCAAACCAGTAGCTAGGCAGGTCCCCTTTCAGGCCATGAAGGCCCATGGGGAATGGGGGGCAAGGGCCACCATTTGTCTTGACCGTCCGACACTGGAGGTGGAGGTGATGTGGTCAGCGTAACGCTCCGGCCTGCCTATTACCTCGGGAAGGATTAACACCCGGGTACTTGTTTGGAAAGCAGGCTGAGTGGACCTGGGAGCCGTCTGGAAGGAACTAGAGCAAGCTCCATCACTTGTCCCTACCTGGGATTGACCTTCTGGTCAGGTGACTGGGCACCCTTGCCGTCTAAGCTACCACAGCTCCGGGCCAAACCAGTAGGCGACTATAATAGAGATTCCCTGAGCGACTGGCTGGGCTCTAACGGGGTAGGAATGGGATTGGCCGACCCCAGGATCTCCTGTGATTTGCCAGGGAACTGGGGGCTGGCAGTGACTCTAGAGGGGGACACGCCACACTTCACCCAGCACTGCCTCTCCTGTTGGGCGCTGCGGAGCTCACAGCTCGTCAAGTGCTGGCGAGGCGGGTGACAGTGGAGGCACAGGTGCTGCACTTGCAGAGTCCAATATTATTTACTGAACAATTGGAGAATACAGATTGGGTTGAGATAAGATAAAAAATGGGTAATTCCACATTTAAAATGGATTAAAAAAGTAATCCAATATCTCTGGTTTATCTTCAGCATGACTCTGTGTCTGCATGTTTATGAGAGGGGCTTGAGATCTGAGCTCGTGGTTTACTCTGCAGATGGAGAAGGCTGGGATACTCACTGGCTGTCCCCGTTCTCCCGTGAATCCAGGAGGACCCTGTAAGAAGTGGAAAACCCCCGTCAGCGGAAATTAACGCATTTTTCCTTTCTCCTAAACGGCACAGTACCCAGCCAGAAGTAAAACCATACTCAAACAGGATGTGACTTGTTGTCAGGTCTTCAAAAACGAAGTATTCCAGAGCTACGACTGAGCTGGTTTTTGAAGTGGCTGACCTGAGCAGTTCTTCTCACACACCTGTGATCAAAGAGTTCCTTCTCCTGGGGTTCCCTCAGAGCTGTCCGTGACTGGGGTCACACGGTAGCCTGTTTGTTTGTGGGGGGGTGGGGGGTGGGAGGTAATGCTTTTACAAGAGCTCTCACTGGGGAAAACATGGTCTCCCAAGCAAACTGTTCGAAAGCGTCCCGTATAAACCACAGACACACACAGGAGGCCCTGGAGCTGGGCTTCAGGTCTCTATCCTTCAGGTCTCAGGAGACAGCTTGTTAGAGAGATGCAATAAGAAGGTTCCCAGCTGTGTTCTCACCCTTTCTCCTGGGTCTCCTCTAGGGCCTGGCTCCCCTACCTGGCCTGACTGGCCCCCCTCAGCCTGGAAGAAACAGAGGAGCCACATCAGACACGTGTCCAAAACCACCCTGAGAACCTGGGGCAGGCTGATGTTCATGTCGAAAGTGGATTTCGCTTAGAGATAGACCACATCTATACAGTATTTTAGAAAATTCAGAGCTTCCAATTCTTTTAACATCCATACCTGCCCAAACTGGGATTTTCCACGGCCGTACAGATCGAGCCCGAGAGACCCATTACACTGCAGGCAGCTGTGAGCACATGTGTGCTGCCCTGAAGTACAGCGCCTTGCAAACATCTTCAGACCCGTCCTGTGGTGTCCCACTTTGTGAGATTACCAAATGACACATACCCATTTTTAAAATGAATATTTCATTGAAAACCTGAATGCTCAAAATTAAGACTTTTAAGTGTAAGGGGTCTTATAGTAAAATTATTTACTTTAATTTCAATTCAATTATCTAAATGATTAATTTCTAAATCAATAGACTTCTGTTTAATGCACAAATATGTAAAAGATAATCAGAAGTAAACTAGAGGATTGTCTGCATGGCTAGGGGATAACCAACATGGAATTAGAAAGGTAATTCTCACTTAACTTGCTAGAGTGTTTTAAACAAACAGGAATGGACACTGCATATGATATGGTATAGATAGATTTTCAGAAGGCTTTCGTAAAGATCTTCATAAGAGGTCTTCATGTGGAAACTGCAGGCAGTTGGCATTCAAGGTAAAGCATGCACTTGGATTAAGACAAACTAATTGTATCAGTGTAGTAGTAGTCGAGTATTACTAAGCAGAATGCATACATAAGGGGTGAAAAATCAAACTGGTGTGATGTCATCATTGGAGGACCTCAGGGTTCATGTTCCACTGCCGATTCTGAAGAAATGTGCTGACTTTGTCAATACTGTACCTTTGATGATTTTGACGTTTGTATCACATCTGAACTGGCCAGAACATTTTAGGAGCAGGGATTAAGCCCTTTCAACCAGTCTATATCTGATGTTGAGGAACAAGTAAAGGTTTATTCCATGCTGAAAAGAGAAGAGACACAAGTTTCGGCCGTGAAGCCTTCAGGTGTGGTAAGGTGTGACACCTGGAGAAGACTCCACAGCCGAAACCTTGTGTCTCCTTTCTTTTCAGCATGGAATAAACCTTCACTTGTCCCATTGCAGCCTGTGCATGCTGACGCAGCTCCCTGCTTGAACTATATCTGATGTAGCTTTTCGACCAAGAATTATTTTGAGATCGCTATTCTCCGAGCAAATCAAAGCAAATCAACTCGATGTGGCTGCCATGTGTGTTATATCACACTGCGCTGGAAAGACTCTTGTCCCCAGGCCTGGGCTGCGCTCTGGGAGGGGGGCAGGTCACGGTACTCACATCTCGGCCAGGCATTCCTGGTAATCCGGGGGGCCCCACTGGGCCTGGGGGGCCTGAGAGACAAGGAAGCAGTGGAAAGTAAGATTACAATGAGATTCCAGACTAAGTCAAGGGACTTAGAGCCTAATAACTTTCAGTTCAATTATAATCTTTTAAAAAAAAATAGATAAACCATTTTGTTATATCCTCCTGAATTTTGGGATAGCCAATTATATCTGGGCCTGGTGCCACAGGCCCTGCAGCTGCACACAGGGGAAGGAGAGGAAGTGCCTCTGAGCCGGTGAGGTGTCACAGAGAGCCCTGGCTGACTGATCCCACCCCACCTGGGGCAGAACCTGGGCTTGTGGAATCAGGCAGTGATCCTCGAACCTGTGACCATAGACAGCACTGGGGCCTGGTCCTTTACCAGTTGAGCCAGTGCCAGTTCAATTAGAAAGATTGGAAATTGATCTACTTTTAAATTGGTTTGAAAAAGCATAGAACTCTATTCTATTTAATACACGACACGTGCGATACATCTTTTCTCACCCAGGTGATTGGACTGTCCTTCACATAAGAGCATGTGTTGAATTTAAGAATGCAGCACAATTACATGGTAATCTGAAACCCACTTTAGCTGTTTAACAGTGAGTAATCCAAAACACAACACACATCAAAACAGAGAACATTTGTTTTGAACACAGTAATGCAGCTGGGGAGGGGATCCATTTCAATTAGGCTTCAGTCTAGCCTCTTTCAAATGCCCTTTCATTGATCGGCTCCTGCTGAAACTGCTCGTGTTTCCTGTGTAATGAGTATAAACCCGAAATAAAGTGTGTGGCAAGGAATCAGCTTTCAGCTCGATCCCCATAGGAGAATCTTGGGAATGTCTGGCTCAGGGAGACCTGAAGTGCTGAGGAAGGTCCTGAGAAACGCACTGCCGAGGCCACCGTGCTTCAGACTCCAGCGGCTGGACGAAGAGCACTGTCTGCCGTGCTGGTTTACGATTTTTATTTGTCATTTTATTACAAGGCTTTTCATAAATGTCACCCGGTTTCAACTCTCAGAAATGATCAGCTAATACTGTAGGTAGCACTGTGCTGACGTGTTCAAGCGCCCAGCCCTGCACTGTTCTTGTGGGTGAAGTGAACACTGATGGGTACTTTGACACTCTGCCGTCACTGTGTGGCTAAGGTGAGGATGTACTGCAGGAGTGCAGCTGCTCATCACGGCGTTACCTGCCACTGTGAAATGAATACCTGTGCCCAGCGCGGAGTCAATGTGACGAATGAAATCAGAGCTGGCGGGGGCTTTGTGTGGCACCATTATCAACAACCAGTTTTTACCTGGGGGGCCAGGAGGGCCAGGTATGCCGGGGGGGCAAGGAGGTCCTGGGGGTGAGAGGTGGCAGGGGCGTCCTGGGTGGTGGAACTGTGGGTGCTCCTCATCTGTGTGATAAAGATACAGCCCCATTAGTACACGCGGTCCGTCTGGACTCTCTGAGTCGTGCCACTGCATTACAGCACAGCACTGCACAGGCACAGGCTTGCACACTTGAGTACCAGCCTTGTGCATTATCAAGAAGCTGCTAGCAAAAACAAGGCCAGATACTATCTATCCTGTAACGGCTGGCTCTGAGCTCTCCGACGAGCACGCAGCGGTGACACTGCTGCGTTATTTCCAGAGATCGAGTTCATCAAGTGTGCGAAGCTGAGCGCGGGCAAAGTGTGTGGTTGATGTGTTGGAGAGATTAAGGGATTGAGCGCAGCTGTCTTTCCACAGAAACATCCCCTGAATTTTCCCAGAACTGCTGTTGCTCTCTGATGACTCACAGACATCCTACCTAAGAGGTGCCTGCATCCCCGACAAGCAAGATGAGCTGATCTGAAGTATGGGACTGTCTAGGCAGGCAGTAAAAATGTATATGTGATTGCACATCAAATTCAAAATGGAGAAATAAATAGCAGACCTAATATTTCTTTCAGCTCTTTTGTATTCTTCATTTCACGCACACCCAATTTGGAATCGCCAATCGGTTTTTTTTTTGTCCGGCACGTTTTATGAACACTGCTCCAAAAAACCATTGGGGGTGTTTGTAAAACTGGAGCTGTCCCACGACACCCCTGCTCTTACACACAGGAATGGGTTGGATGCTGCTTTGCACTTTAGGCTATGAGGCAGGAGAAGAGAAAAAGAGGGTAACTTAACTTCATGACCTTTTTTAATTCTCTGGAGCTGAGCCTAAAACACTGCAAGGAATAAGCAGCCGGCAGAGGCCTTGTACTCCTGTCTCTAGGGCTTTACCAGGAGCAGCAGACGTGCTGCAGGAAAGTTCGGCATGCAGCCACAGGGTAATTCCAGCATCCAATCGGCCTAATGAGAAGACAGGTTCAGGAGCGATCCCTCCGGAGCTAATTTCTGCAACTCCGGCAGACTGCAGAAAGCACCCCTTCTCTGGGAGCAGCAGGGCTCAGTTTGAGAACCTTGCTTCTCCTCCTTTTCTTACAGAACAGGTTTTTGGCTCAGGGGGCTGCCACGTTTGCCAAAAGCAGACTGCTGTGCTGACAGGTTACAAATTGGGACTGATTTACAGCAGGCTGACTCCAGCCAGAGCTGAGGCTTAGACAAAGCCAGCCTCCTAATTAAATACAGCTTGTCTGCGCACAGGGCCAAGCTGGGTGCCTGGTGCCCTCTAGTGTTGGACTTGGAGAAGTGACTCAAAACACTAGGATACAGCTGGTAAAGGGGAATTTTTTATGGGGGGATTTTATGACAAACCAAACCCTTTTGTTGAGAAGGAAAGGGAACAGTGAATAAAATAAATGGAGCTGTGATAAAAAAAAAATCTAAAACACAGTATGAATGTATTCATGTATTTATACAGTTTGATTTGAAGCATTAAATTAGAGGACGAAGTTTTGGATGCATCTACTGTACATACTGTAAACAGTAACATCAAATGCAATTGACTTCAAGTAACAGCTCAGAGCAGTTAAGTGAAAAGGACTAAATTGCTGAGTCTACATGCAACAGGCTCACTGTGAGTGTGTAGTACGCTGGTTCCGAAGTTAACTGTATGTGACAACTGATAATAAAGGATTTTTTATGTTTTTCATTTTGGTGTTTAAGCAATAAATAGCAGAACAAACAGGATATCCTTTTCAGTTAGTTTTTCAGGTATTTCAGGCCATTTTCCTGTCTAAGATCATAAATTTTACTGCATTGTACACAATCTTATTCTCTGAATTATGCACTTGAACTCACTTTCTAAACCCAGGGCTGGAGATATTGGATACAGAAGGATCTCGGACATCTGAGAATTTAACACTTGGAAATTCACTTACTCGTAAGTTGGTCTGGTCGACTGGTGTCTCGAATGAAAGAAGAGCAGAGGCTTGCCAAGCACAACTTTAAAATCTGCGCTGCGACAGACGAGGAACGCGAGACGTGGTCTTGTTTCTCTATTGTAACAGACGTTCCCAGTTCTGTGTTGGTGCTGTGCGAGTGACAGGCTGGAGACAACTTCCCTGGCTCAGTGACCGTTTAACTGTCCATTTCATCACAGCGGGGCGTCAGCGGGGGTCATGTTGTCTATTTCAGCCAATTACTACAAGCTTGTGATTACTGTCGTTTCTTTCAGTTGATCAATTTTATTTTAAATAGTTTAGAACCAATGAATGAGTACTGTGGTACATCACGCAATGGTACTGGGGTGGATTTGGTGATATAAGACTAATTTGGCTAGTCATGACAGTCCTCTGCAATGAACCCTCGTGAACGTCAGTCTCTACTGCATTTGCTGAAAGCCTGCAGGGGCCAGAGAGGTCACAGGAGCTGCTGACTGCTGGGAAGTAACAATCCAGACCCCACTCACAGGGAAACTTAGTCTCGGTCACCTAGAGCCCTGACAACTGTTAATGCTGACAAACTACAAGCGTGTGTAAGGTGTGTAGCTCTGCTCTGCGGGGGTTCGATCATGGTGGATCCGAGTGGACGCAGCACCACTCCCTGGACAGCTGGGAGCTGTCAAAAGACCGGGTCTCCCGCTGTAGGGGAATTCAAGGGGTGACATCACTCCTGGAACATCTGCGCTGAGCCTTGGTACATATGTACAAAGTGGACAGGGAGACATGGACCAAACTTGGCTCTTAATTAAAAATCAGTTTCCTTGGGTTTATGTCATAACTGACAGTTCGTCTCTTCGAGGCAATCCTTCATTTTGGCGATTAAGAGTTTACGAAGGGCGCCGCCCAGAGATAAAAGCCACAAGGGGAAGAAGTAAAATGCAAGAGCACTAAAGTGGATTACAAAAACTGTAATTAAAGTTGGGAACCTTGACCTGAGAAAATACAAGAAGTCAGGCCTCAGCCTTCCAGCGCGGTTAAAAATAAATCGGTTATCTTTGGCACGGCTCTACAATAAACAATCGTGAGAAAGCAGCCTAAAGTCAAAGTGAAACGGATCCAAAACACAATTTTCAGTTTGCATTCCTTATTTTGGTTAGTTTTATCTTGTGACAATGCTCATAAAATAAGGGATGCATCGAGTGATATCACCATCTCCATTCTTTCTTATTTCCATGACGTGCAGAAGTAGTCAAAACATTGTGTATCTCCATCAGCTCATTTCATGTTCAGACCCAGATGAGTATTTGGAAAAGAGACTTGCTGTCCTATTAAAGCTAAGAATAGCAGCCGGGCTGCTTAACTATGTCTTAACAGGCAGCAGGGGGCCTGTTACACCAAACCTGTATTACTTTTCCAGCAAGAAAGCCCAGGACAGACTTGACACATGGATATACAGTCCGACTCAATATCATTAGCCAAATGATCCACTTTAAGAGGCCCGTATGTGTAAATTAATAGGTAAGGATTTTGGATGTTGAAGAAGCCAAAGACAGTTCTTGTGTTCCTAACCTCTGCCTTTTGGCAATTTGGAATCTCATAAATGCTGTCAAATTATTCCTGGACCTTGACTACAGCGCTGTCAATAGCAAGGCCCACACCTGCTCGCTCCGTCTGCGTCCTCTACGTGAAAGATGGAGAAACGGGGCACTCTCTTTCTTCCATGGCACTGAGAGGATACTGGCCTACCATCCCTGCAGTTATCACTCGATTCAATCAAGGACAGATCTTCATATTCACTCTACTCCAATAAGGCAGGAGCAAGCGAGTTTGCCCGGGAAGTGAAAGGGTGCAATGGTTTGTAGAAGTAACGACAGGTGTTATGCTGTGATGTAATCTGTGGACGCGGGCAAGGTTACCCTTCTGCCTTGGACTGAAGGAGTTTGTGGCACAACCTGTACAGGGGAGCCCCCCCACTGAAAAGCCACACGCAGGTGAGACGTTTTCAAGAAAGCAAGGGTTTTGACGCCGCACACTCCTGTAAGCTGTGGTGCCTGTCTGGCCGCTCTGCCAACGCAGCAGATGTGGTGCCGGTCACTCACACTCGACTGCCATGCGCCTCAGGACGTCCCCTCTAGGTTCTGAGCTGATTTCAGGGGGGCCGACGGGTCCGGGGGGTCCTGGGGCCCCAGGGAGTCCGGGGGGGCCTGGCATGCCCATCTCACCTGGAAGTCCGCGTTTGCCCTCAGGCCCTGTGAGTGTGGACGGTGGAGGACAGGAAGAGTTCCGTTAGCTTAAAGATCCCTTAGCTTCATGTTTTGAAAACAGGGTCCTGCTTATGGGCAGCACAGAGATGCAGTGGTTCGCGCTTGTGTGGAGTCTGTATGTTCTCTCCGCGTTTGGGTGGGTTTCCTCAGGGAGCTCCGGTTTCCTCCCACAGAAAGACATACTTGTAGGTTAATTGGCTCCTGGGAAAACTGGCCCCGGTGTGAGTGTGAGCGTGTCCGTGTTTGTGTGTGTCCTGTGCTGGACTGGCGTCCTGTCCAGGGTGTATCCTGCCGTGTGCTCTTTGCTTGGCAGAATAGGCTCCAGAACTGGATGAAGTGGTTAGAGAACAAATGGATGGATTCTGCCTACTCAAATGGAGCTTTATGTGCCAGTGTACAGTTGATAAATAGTGAAGCAACATCACACAGGACCTGTGAGATTATCCTGGCCATAAAGGAGGAGCAGCAGCAGGTTGAGTGCTGGGGCTAGGAGAGGCACGTACTGCATTAAGCAGAGGAAATGGTGTGGGCAGCTAAGGGAGAATGGGACACTAGAGTCAGAGTTCAAGAAAAACGGCAGGATGAAATTTATGAGGGGGGCCCACTAGCTGTGAACTTCATCACTGTGAGAAGCTGGATGAACCCTGTGATCTCGAGAAGAGGTGTGTGTAGGGCATACAGCACAACAGTCAAACGCCTGGCAAATTCAGTCACCAATCACTGACTGTCAGAGTGACTCCTGCCTTCATCTCGGGTGTAAAGGCTCAGAAAAAGATCAGTGATCACAAATACAGCTGCAGCAGGGTGTCAAAATGCAAGGAAGCAGGAAGCAGAGAGGCGCGTCAGCATTTGCTCCATGCGCAAGCCCACTGCAGGTGAGTAAAGGTTTAAAGAAGGACACAGATACTCAAAACCTTTTAAGATCGCTTTATCGCACCGTTCCCCCGAGATACCCGAGTCAGTATCCCGTTCAAGCTGAGTTCTCGGTTCTCGTAGGCAAGTGGAGAGAAAGAAGATGTCTCCACGCTCTCGACGATGTGTTGGAGTCGGAAGGGCTGAATCTGCTGGCTGTTAAAGACTCAATTACCGGCGGCAGGGAGGTGCTTTTACCTGGGGGTCCCACAGGCCCTGATGGGCCAGGAGGGCCTCTTTCTCCCCTAGGCCCAGGAGGTCCAAAAGGTCCATCATCCCCTGGGGGTCCTGCATACGACACAGAGAAAATTGACACAAAGAGAAACGGGCAGGGAAAAGCGATGAACAGAGCGATTCTTCTTCTTCTTCTCTTCTTCTTCTCTTCTTCTTTTTTTCAGCAGGAATAAACCTATTACTTGTTCCTTTGCAGCCTATGCATGCTGACGCAGCTCCCCACCTGAACTACATATATACAGAATTACATGTAAAGCTGAAAAAGGATCATTAGGAAGACCAAGAGAGAGGATGGAATATTGCAGTCAAGGCAAGAATATTTTTTGCCTCATATTTATCTGTTTCAAATATTAAATTTCAACAGTACATGGCAAAAATGTCACTTCACTGTTCCAATACTTATACTTTTCACTGTTAGTAATATGCTTAAATGCACCAATTCAACATATGTTTCAGAAGCTGATGAGAAGACACCCAGAACATCTGTGACCCTGTGGGTCCTGAGGTCACCACCAGTGAGCCACTGAATTACGAGATGAGCAGAACAGAGCAGAGGAGGACCACGGGCTAAAAACACCCCAGTTCAGCTGTAAGAGGCCCACGCCTTCACATTCACTAGGTGTTAAAGTGGGCACAAGAAGTAGCAACAGCTGCTTGCCTGTTGTAGAGCCATGTGTGGTGCTGTGTAGATGGCTCTCATTAACGCCACATGCTCTCAGCAAACTCCCACAGTCTTTGCATTCTTTTTTCCCCATAAACCCTGTAATGTGACCAATTTATAAATAAATCAATACTTTATTATGGGCCACTTTAGAGAAGTCACACTGTAAACCCAGCACTAAGATGCACACCAAAATGAGCATTAACCACCACAGTTCGAGAATCACTGGAATTTCCACCCCTGAGTGAGCAAGCAATTGTTTTATTTCAGCTGACATCAGTCTGAAAGCTGCAATGGATTGCTGCCCTGAAAACAAGTGTTTTTACTTTGGCTTGACATAAGCAGATAAAAAAATCTGTAAACTATTAAGTTATCAGTCTAATAAAATCACTGACCATTAGCTGATCCTTATTATGCACTGTGAAAGAATGTGAACTCACTTCACAAAAAAACAAGCTAATTATGCCTTAAAGGCATACTAGCCAATTAAGAAAAAGTAAATGGTTTATACATCTCCCCATATTGCAATTCCTAATTAAAATAAGATATAGCCAATCATGTCAAGCTCAATTGGCAATCATCTTGACATTAGTTCTACACTCCACATATTGAGACAGAGACCACTGCTAGAAAACAAACTAGTTAGAACCATTGACTATTCTTTATGTAGCAGGTCCCAGTGTGCTCTTAGCGGGCAAATAGAGGAGTGGTGCTACTCTCACTAGCAGTACTACCAGCCCATAAACATCTGGCAGGTCCCATAGTTCAGTGCTCATGGACAGCTGTGCCAAGTCTACCCAGGAAACTGCATACAGCCCAGACCGGAACAAGTAATGCCTTGACTACAGAGCCTAACCTGCACTCTGAGAAAGCAGTGTCTTTACTCAGTCCAGGTTTTACACCATTCTAAGAAGCCAGAAGGCTTCTGCGTATGAAAGCTGCTACCTAAAAGTCAGCTCATTCTAGATGAGAAGGGATCAGAGGAGAGGAGCTACTGCATCTCAACACTAACCCTGAGGCTCAACAGGCCATGATGGTCCCACAGGTCTGATGGGCCGCTCTGTATCACCAGGTGAGGAAAAGTTCCAACTACTTTCCACCATTAAAATCTGAAACGAAACAAACACATTGGGTTAAAGCTGTGTGCGGAGAGTCATTTCCCACATGTAATAGAACTGCTCTCTCTGTCTCAGAACAGCAGGGAACAGAAACTAAAACAAAACATGGATGGTTGAAGGCTGCCTAACGCACAATCTGATTAAAGGGAAGTCCAGACTCACCTTGGACTCGAGGATCTCCAGCCTGTTGTTCATGTCAGCGAAGGCAGTGCAGTTTATACACTCTGCTCAAGAGAACAGACACAGAAGTTACACTTCGAACAGCAGCCCAGCTGCCTCAATGTCTCAGCCACAAGTGAAGCGGCTAACATTCACAAAACAGGTCCGAAAGTCTACTGTGTAAAGTGAGCTGGCAATACCAAAATGTGCCCAAAAGCTGGCAGAAGCATCAGAAATCTGTTCTCAAATCATCTGACTTCTGATTAAAGATCTGTAGTGCCAGAAAAGAGAGGACAGAGGAGCTCAAGATTAGAGCAATTTGTAAGACTGACTACATGATTATTTCATATGGAGCACTATTTCGTTTGGCACTTGAGTGCTGAAAGTTATTAGTTTTTCTTGACATTATTAGGAATAACAATGATTCTGAAAGAGGCATCAAGACTCATGGTGACAACACACAAAGGGAAATAAAAGAATGTCCCACAAAGGTGAAAGAAGAGACAAACATTCCAAGAAGAATTTCCAACATGAAGAAAATCCATAAGCAGCCAGAAGCCTGTTAATTTTACAGCAGCTACAGGATCTTCATGGTTGTCCCCTTTCCCCACAACAACTGCTTCAGTCAGGGTGTTGTGCTCTGTGCATATTTATCTCCAGGCAGCTTATTTTAATATGACAGAGCTACAGTATGCACCCTTGTAAACATATGCACAAAGAACCAGAGATGTCAGACTCCCATGAAGTGCGTTGTTAAAGAACCTATGCGAGACGGTATAATCTGGAATAGACTGGAGTAGGACATCATGGAAGACACAGCAAGGTTAGGTCGGGTGACAGACGAGGGGTGGTGACGGTGGCGATCCGGTGCACGGGGAAAGGCCGAGGCGACAAAGTCAATACAGTCCAAAGGGGTAGTTAGAGCGCAGTCCGATGTCCAAAATGCCGGGAAGTCCATCCGAGACGAAAACAGTGAGAAACAGGAAACGGGGAACTAGGAACACGGAAGGTTAAAACCATGACTGGACTCAGAGGTCAGGACGCTGTGATAAAGCCTGTGCCCTCGGGCTGCTCCTGAGCCCGGTCATAGGTGGGCTTTTCGGACTTTTGGGCGTTTTCCAAGGCTGGGCCCGGAGCCGTGGAGACGCCGGGCTTAAATAAGACAAAGGGGAGGAGACACAGGTGAAACTACGGAACTAAGAACAACACAGAAAAGGGTAGGAGCACCCTCTAGAGGAGGAATGACGACTATGACAGCACTAGTGCTTCAAGAAGCAAGTTTTACATTTCAGAAGGTCACAGACCCCGAGCCGCATCCGACAAGCAGGGCAGAAGGGACTGACTGCTGTCTCTCCTGGTTGGGAATGCCGAGATCCCATTGCCAGCACTAGCCCTGGAGGTACATGAGCTGCAGAACCCTCTCCTTGTGCTGCCGTGACTCATAGGGAGAAAAATGCAGAATGTCCCCCGCTAAGTGCCCCCCCCCACCTTTCCTTCCCCTGGACCTCCTGTAAGAAGCCCGGGACCCCCCACCTCCCTCCAGCAGTTGTTTTCTGTCTGTCTGCCGGCATTCCCCACTGCATGCCCAGACGCTGCAGACACACTCCGGCAGCACGGTGCCCACCACAGGCCCCCGCGCAGCGCCGGGCTGGGAACCAGCAGAGCTGGAGGGAGGTGTTCCACCCACACGCGCCTCGTGCCCTCACCGCTGCTGTCTGTGTTGTGTCTGCTCCGCTGGGCTTCAGATCACCGCTGGGTGCCCGAGCCCGATGGCAGCCGCGATTGCCCGACAGCAGCCAAAACCGCCTGCGATCTGGAGCTCAGATCTGTAAGCAATGCGAGCGTGCTTATTTTACCTCACCTAGCAATTTAACATGAACAGCACAGCCACAATGCACGTGGACCTCAAAATTAACTGTGTTTCACAAAGGGCAAATATTCAAGAGCTCCTTTGTTGGACGGCTAAAATGAGCATACTCGCCCATTGTCATTGTGTATGTGTATGTGTTTGCGGGGGATTCAATACACCTCCGTGCACACCGTGTCATTAAAACTAGGTCACTAGGTCACACTTCCTCCTGTCTGTCACTTGGCAAAGCAGATTTTCTACATCTGTGTCGTTTACAACAGGGAGGCTGTCATGTCCACCCAGGAGGGAGGAGTGCAAAAGGTGGTCTCAAGGTGACAGGACTGGGGCTTCGGCAGGGAATCACCTTGCAATCCGGCTTCTACCTCAGCCACCGGTCCTCCAGGCAAACAAATTATAGGCTTTCAATTACAAGGACAATAGCTGCTGTTCTGCACCTAATTAAGAAATGAACTAACAGGTCTGGACCCTGTTGCCCAGACTGAGGTTCCTTCAGCTTTACCAGGAGAAAGGCTTGGATGTGCACAGAGCTGGCCGTCTTAACCAGCACGCTGCACAGAGGCGGGAGCCCCCACAGCCCAACCAGGAGCCGGAGAGACCCCTCAGACAGCTGCTAATGAAATTCTGTCTGCAGGGCTCAGGGAACAAGGAAATTGCAGGTGACCCTTGAAAGGCGAAAAAAAAACCTACGGTTTTGCAAACGCAATAAAGAATGAGTAAATTGTAGTTGACCCTGACAGAAAAAAAAGTCTTCCTAACCTCATAAAGAAACTTTAACATCTCCCCCCAAAGATAAACATCACTCACATCCTGACATGCGGACTTCAGAGGACATGGGAAATGGTCACGAGGGAATCCGAGGCCTCCAGCTGATATCTGGACTTTCTGTTACCTCAAACAGTCAGGTATCGATAAGACAACTAGTCCTCAATGCCTTTATCTAAACATCTCTCCAGAATGAGTCTGAGGACCACAGATGTTTCAAAGTGATTTAATAATACTTATTTAAATTATTAGATTAACCAACAATTAAGTGATTACATCCTAATTGTGCTTTTCCACATGCCATTTACCTGCCTCATCATTGTTCAGACAATTCTTAGCACAGATGTTGCAGTTCTGGTAACGCTTTTGTGAATGATAAGTGAAGAATGAATCCAATTCACTTACCACCCCCCAAAAACATTAATCTAATTCAATTTACTGATTAAAATAACTAAATGTTCACCATCTTGCTAAAAATGTTATAAAACTTATATATGCTTTCATAATAACATTAAATTGGGCAACAGTGTGGCTGGCATTTCTGCTTCACAGCACTGGGGTCCCGGGTTCAATTCCTGAGCTGAGGTGCTGTCTGTGTGGAGTCTGTATGTTCTCTCTGTGTCCTCATGGGTTTCCTCCAGGTGCTCCAGTTTTCTCTGGCAGTCCAAAGACATGCTGGTAGGTTAACTGCCTTCTGGTAAAACTGGCCCTGGTGTGAGTGTGTGCCCTGTGATGGCCTGATATCCCCTCCCAGGTGTACCCTGCCTTGAGCCTGTTGCTTGCATAAAGAAAAAGAAAATGGATGAATGGATTGCTGGACAGTGACTAACAGCAGGTTTGCTAACAGTAACATCACAATGGCGATTCACATCCTCAAGGCTCTTCAGCCCTCATCAGTGCACAGTGCATCGAGATTCAGCGATGTCTCACCAGTGACTCAGGCGCAGAGTTGTGGTTTTAACACAATTTATAGCTTGCTTCGCGCATCTGCAACAGTAAACTGCTGGATGGCAGGCAGCTTTAGATCCTCAGAAAGTATAAAAGAAAAAGAAGAAAACAGACGCTCCCCCAGGAGTCCGCAATAAAAAGGCACAATCTGAAGGCAACAGAGATTGCAGACCAGCTGCAAGGCAACAAGGCTTAGATATATTTTCCAGATGTAGGAAGGGGACCCCACTAAAGCCCAAGGTGGGGAGGGGCTGTAACACTAGAAGGACAGTTGCTTTTTATTAATATTTTTACACACATCCTTTAACCCCCAGTTGAGATGAATGCAATGGCCGACATCGGGATGCCCCAGAAAAGAGGTCTGTAGTCTCAGCATCACAGTGTATTCTCTCACAAACACACACAGAACCCAGGACCCTCTATCAGAGGGAGACACATCGCATATCCATTCCCAGAAACAGGCACACAGGAGCATTCTCAACAAAGCATGTCTCTGCAGATATGGGTGCTGTGATAAATAGAATGTGATCTTGTCATTTTGATACGGCTGGCTAGATCATCTGTCCGAAGGATCTCTTTTCCATCTTCTTTTTAATTTATCAGGAGTAACTGTTATCTACCATGAAGTATTAAGAGCTTTAGTTTTGAAGGGCAAAGGGTGGAGGAATTATAGATCATAACACTCCCACAGTCTACATTTCTCCCTCCTTCTTCCACACAAAATAGTTAGGAATTTAGGTAACTGTTAGTTCCGTCTTTGATTCCTATATTCCTGTAGTATTCAAGAAAAGATTGAGATATTTAGCTCCACAAATCCAATACAGCCTCAACAGAGTGCATGACTGAAAGTCTAAGAGTATCCTTTCAAACTATAAGGAGGTTTCAGCAACAGCCTTGTGATGTATCTGACGGCACTGCAAAACTGTCTGCTGTTCATTCCACACAACTCCCCCGTTCTGCTGTAAGAAAACATCCCCCAGCGTCAAACCCACACGCACACCTCCCTTCCCAGTCTGGGAGGAATTAGTGGGGTCAGGCCAGGCCCGTGCCCTCCAGTGCCCCCTCTGCGGAGAGCCCTGACAGAGGAGATGAATTGTCTGGGCCTGTGGGGCTTGATCAGGAACACATGGTCAGGCTGGAGCGGCAGTGCCCCCTCGGCTCCTGCCACACAGCGCCGCCATCCCTGCTCCCAGTCCTCTGCCGGAGCGCACGGACACCGCCGCACACTGGGACCAAGAGAGCCAGCGGAGACCCTGCAGGTCACCAGCTTCCAAAGGCCTGAGAGCGACAGGAAGCAAGTGAAATAGCGGTTAAAGTGAAAATGGTCACAAAGGAGAGGAGGCCCTACGGCCCATCCAGCCCCTTCTGCGGTTAGGTGCAAATTGATCTAAGGATCCCATCAGCTGACCCTAGTGCTGGTAGATAAAGATGTGATTCCTGGACCTGGTTTTAAATGCTGTGTCCTCTGGTTCGTGTTTGACTCTG